AAAACCATCATGCGGCACCTGATCAAACTTAAAGTGCTGGTACTGCTGTCTGATGGGTCTGCAGAGTGTCCTTGTGGAGATTCAGTTGATTTTTGCTGTTGCCTGGCTTCTGTGGCTCCTGAGTGGCAGGGCATAGTCAATCTTTCACACTTGCTCCTAATCTAGCTCTGATGAGGATTGCTGTTCTTAAACTCCTGCGGGACAGCATCTCAATGATGAATTACTGAGGCCTCTGGACCTGTTTGGGTTTTACTTCTTATGAAAACATGCTGGTGAAGATTCTCAATCATCCAGGACATGGTAAATCCAAACAAGATTAAAAGTAAAAACAACTGGACTTTATTTGTAACAGAAGACATTTCACTTCTCATTTGGGGAACTTTCTCAATTCAAAGAACAGGGAGTGTGGTGTTCAAGTTATAAAGATAAGGTAAGCTAGATTCATATGCAGATTGCCCTCTCACTCCTCACAATAGATGTTCATTAGGGTCTTTGTTAGTCTGACTTGCAGATGGACACGTGAATGGAGTTCTTGACTTAAGTGAAACCGACTGGGTATCAGGCCTAAAGCTGCATTATAGGTTTTAGAGAGTTGGAATTCAATTCAAATAAATTCAGTTTATTTATATAGCGCCAAATCACAACAAAGTTGTCTCAGGGCACTTTACAGGAACATTCACATACATAAAAGCCAATTAGTAAAGTTCTCTATCTAAGGAATCTGAGGCCTTCTCCTCGGTTTAAAGATGGTTTCTCTCGTTTTACATAAATAGCTTCCTTCTCCCTTCTTTGTCTTCTCAGTCCAAAATGTGAACATTTTGGTCGTCAGAGTGTCTCTTATCCTTGAGGTGCAGGTGAACCTTTGAGTCTTGTCCTGAAGAGCTGCTCTCCTGTGTTGAGCCATGCATCTGTGAAGAAGCTGTTTGGTTTCTCCAATATAGAGATCTGGACATTCCTCACTGCACTGGACTGCAGACACCACACCACTCTGTTTGTGTTTGGGTGTTTTATCCTTGGGGTGGACCAGCCTCTGTCTGAGAGTCCTGTTGGGTTTGAAATGTACTGGGATGTTGTGTTTGTCGAAAATCCTTCTGAGTTTCTCAGATACTCCAGCAACATAAGGGATGACAATGTTTTTCTGTCTGTTGTTTTCCTTGTTCTGTTCAGTGGTGTGTTTTGTAGATTTCCTCACTGACTTGACAAAGGCCCAGTTAGGATATCCACATGTTTGGAGAGAGTTTCTGATATGTTTTTGTTCCTTTTTCTTCCCTTCTGTCTTCATGGGTCATGTTCAGCTCGATGTAAAGTTCTGATGACAGAGAGTTTGTGTTCCAGTGGATGGTGAGAGTCAAACAGAAGGTACTGGTCTGTGTTGGTTGGTTTCCTGTAGACTTCTATGTTGAGGCTGTCCTCTCTTTCCATGTGAACCAAAACAGTCCAAAAAAGGCAGCTTGTTGTCCTTCATATACTCTGGTGAACTTGATGTTATCAACAGAGTTGATGTGTCTGGTGAATGATCCCTTTTCATGGGTTTTCACAGCAAGTCATCCTCCTCTACCTCACTCTGTTCTCTGCATCCTCTGTCCTCCCTCCTATTACTCATTTTCCTGGCAGCTACATTTCTAACATCCTTCTAGCAATATACACACTGTCCCTCCTCTGGACATGTCCAAACCACTGTCCCTCATCTGGAAATGTCCAAACCACTGTCCCTCCTCTGGAAATGTCCAAACCATCTCAGTCTGGTCTCTAACTTCATCTCCCAGTTGTTCAACCTGTGCTGTACCTCTCATGGTCTCATTTCTAATCTTGTCCATCCTTGTCACTCCTAAGGAGAACCTCAACATCTTCATTTCTGCCCCTTCCAGTATGTTCTCCTGTCTTTTTCTTAATGTCTTGGTCTCCAAACCATACAACGTTACTCGTCTCACCACTGTCTTGTAAAGTTTTCCTTAAACATTTGCTGAAGCCATTTTATCACAAATCACTCCTGAAACTTTTGACTGAAACTTTTGAATGACAATAAAGAAACTCTGAAACTTTTCTCCATCCACTCCATACTGTCTGGACTCTCTTCTTCACCTCTTTACCACTCTTCCCATTTTTTTGGACAGTAGACCCAAAGTACTTGAAGTCCTGCACCTTTGTGGCCTCTGCTCCTTGTACTGTTGTACTCCTCCACTGTTCCACCGGCATCCCTCTCATTCACACATGTACTCTGTCTTACTACGGCGGACTTTCATTTATTTTTGTTCAAGTGCATACCTCCACCTCTCTAAAGTCTCTAAAGAACAGGACTGTTTAGAGCTTGTTTGGTGTGAGCAGAATCCAAATGATCAACTTTGGTGAAAATCTGCAGAAATGATTGGATGGATAAAGCTTCCAGTATCTCGTAGAGCTTTTGGCACCAAGAACTGAACCTGAGACAAGACGTTACACTATTGTCCTTCAACTTTATGATGTTTCTTAAGGGGGAAATTAACCACCTCATTTAAACTGCTTAAAAAAATACTACTTTTTAAAATACTTTTTCCACAACAAACTAATCAGGTTTTGAGAGCTATCTCAGCCTAAAATAAAAATAGCAAACTAGATTATTTGTTTGTCGTTGTAAATTTGAACATTTTAAGAATGTTTTTGTTAAAAAACACCTCCATATTTCAGTTTTTTTAAAATCCACAAAATTATTTTTTATCAAGTGTTTGAAAAGGTACAGGTCCTTCTCAAAAAATTAGCATAATGTGATAAAGGTCATTATTTTCCATAATGTAATGATAAAAATGAAAATTTCATGTATTTCAGATTCATTGCACACCAACTGAAATATTTCAGGTCTTTAATTGTTTTAATACTGATGATTATGGCATACAGCTCATGAAAACTCAAAATGCCTGTCCCAAAAAATTAGCATATTTCATCCCACCAATGAAAGACAAGTGTTTTTAATACAAAAAACACCAACCTTCAAATAATCATGTTCAGTTATGCACTCAATACTTGGTCGGGAATCCTTTTGCATGAATGACTGCTTCGATGCGGCGTGGCATGGAGGCAATCAGCCTGTGGCACTGCTGAGGTGTTATGGAGGCTCAGGATGCTTCGATAGCGGCCTTAAGCTCATCCAGAGTGTTGGGTCTTGCGTCTCTCAACTTTCTCTTCACAATATCCCACAGGTTCTCTATGGGGTTCAGGTCAGGAGAGTTGGCAGGCCAATTGAGCACAGTAATACCATGGTCAGTAAACCATTTACCAGTGGTTTTGGCACTGTGAGCAGGCGCCAGGTCGTGCTGAAAAATGAAGTCTTCATCTCCATAAAGCTTTTCAGCAGATGGAAGCATGAAGTGCTCCAAAATCTCCTGATAGCTAGCTGCATTGACCCTGCCCTTGTTAAAACACAGTGGACCAACACCAGCAGATGACATGACAACCCAGTGACTGTGGAAACTTGACACTGGACCTCAAGCAATGTGAATTCCGTGTCTCCTCTCTTCCTCCAGACTCTGGGACCTTGATTTCCAAAGGAAATGCAAAATTTACTGTAATCAGAGAACATAACTTTGGACCACTCAGCAGCAGTCCCAGGCGAGATGCTTCTGACGCAGTCTCTTGTTCAAAAGTGGCTTGACCTGGGGAATGCGGCACCTGTAGCCCATTTCCTGCACACGCCTGTGCACGGTGGCTCTGGATGTTTCTACTCCAGACTCAGTCCACTGCTTCCGCAGGTCCCCCAAGGTCTGGAATCGGCCCTTCTCCACAATCCTCCTCAGGTTCCTGTCACCTCTTCTTGTTGTGCAGCGTTTTCTGCCACACTTTTCCCTTCCCCCAGACTTCTCACTGAGGTGCCTTGATACAGCACTCTGGGAACAGCCTATTCATTCAGCAGTTTCTTTCTGTGTCTTACCCTCTTGCTGGAGGGTGTCAATGATGGCCTTCTGGACAGCAGTCAGGTCGGCAGTCTTACCCATGATTGCGGTTTTGAGTAATGAACAAGGCTGGGAGTTTTTAAAAGCCTCAGGAATCTTTTGCAGGTGTTTAGAGTTACGTCGTTGATTCAGATGGTTAGGTTAATAGCTTGTTTAGAGAACCTTTTCATGATATGCTAATTTTTTGGGACAGGCATTTTGTGTTTTCATGAGCTGTATGCCATAATCATCAGTATTAAAACAATTAAAGACCTGAAATATTTCAGTTGGTGTGCAATGAATCTGAAATATATGAAAGTTTCATTTTTATCATTATATTATGGAAAATAATGACCTTTATCACAATATGCTAATTTTTTTAGAAGGACCTGTATTTTCTCCCATCAGTAAACCCAAAATGATTTTTTGACTCTTTTTTTTTCTAGTCCTGAGTTTTGTGAAGACCCTCCAGACCACCAGAATCAGTAGCTGAAAATGTGGCCTTGTTTTCAGCCAAACTTTCTTGTATCTCTCCGTCTTCAAACATGGATTTTTATTCTAATCACTTCTTCCATTCTTTAAACTTATTTTATTTTTTGCTTTGCCAATGATAGAATTGCAAATCTTAAAAATATTTTTTTGCCTATACCAACAGATGTACAAGCGAGCCTCTGGTGCACTGTCCACCTGTTAATTACTTCCAGCCTTTGGATAAACCGACGGCAGACAACCGTGGAGTGTTTCATTCTGCAGCCGTCAAACAATTTTTACTACTAAATGTTCTCTTGTGTTTTTGTTTTTTACATCCAAACTAAGATGGTTTTGTTGGACGAGATGAGAAGCAGGACTTCACATCGACTCTGGCTGAGGAAGACGTTCTTCAGCTGGTTTGAGCTGAATTGCGTCTCAGTAATTTTTTAGAGGCTCTAAAATTTGAAAGCAGAGCATCATCTGTGTGCTATTATAAAAATTTTAAGTTTAGTAGGAAAGGAAAAATAAAAAACATGACTGAAAGGAATGCATCAGCCTGTTCCGTGCATGAATGTAAAAACACAGCAAAATTTCTGTTTGGTATAAAACTGGTACAGAAATACTTACTTTGAAAGCATACTCATTGATTGTCTCAATAACTTCTACAAAGGGCACTTTAGAGGTGAGTGTGTATCCATGATAAACGACAGGTTCTCCTGCATCTCCATCCCAGCAGTCCAGTTCTACACAGCAACAGCCTCGATTCAAAGCTCTGGGAGAAAAGTCACCAGTAGACATCACTCAAAGGAGGAACACAGAGCAGCTATCTGAAGGCTGGTGGGGGATTACTATAAAAATAATATTATACCTCTTAAACGCACTCATTCTTAACGTTGACTTTTCTTTCATGTCAGATGGTACAAAAATACAGAAATGGCAGAAATGTTTATCCCTCAACTCATAAGTGAAGACAAATAATATGACTTAAAGTCCAAAAAAAGTTGGGATGTGTAAAATGTAAATTAAAACAAGACACAGTGATGTGCAAATTTCATAAACCCATATTTTATCCACAGTGGAACATGGTAAACATGTCAAATGTTTTTTTTTATCACTCTTTGTGTTTATGGAGCTCAGAATACAGGCAGGACTTGTGAGGTTTAAACAAACTAAACATTTGTTAAAATTGTAACACTTTACAATAAGGTACACAAAATTTGATTAACTACTAGGGAACGCCTAAGGAATGAATCAGGAACAAATCAGGAGCTAATGGGTAATTAACCAGTACTTACTGGGGAACACACAGCCAAGCCTTATTAGGGGACTACTGGTTAGTTACCTTGTAAATTAAGAGGAACTAATCCAGAACTAATGGGTAGTTAGAAAACCAAAGAGGAACAAATCAGAAACTTTTGGGTAGTTAACTGTCACAATCCTCCAAGTTTAGACCCATATGCAGGCAGGTGAGTGAGGCAGGAGTTCAAATAAAATAAATGTATTTAAACAACAAAACAAAACGCTGTCAATGCAGCAAAACTTACTCTGGCAAAACACGATCAAGAACAAGACTGAACAGGACATCAGAGTAAACGGGCAGAGCAGATCATTGGGTGGACGAAAACAGACAGGGCAGAGGACTGAGATGTCTGTGCAAAACAGAACAATGACCGGACGAGGAGTGGAGGAGAGAAAAGCTTTTTATAAGACAGAGGGAGAGTGAGTAATGAGAGCACCTGGGCAGGTGGCTGATGAGGGACAGGTGTGAATGATAAAGACTGAGGACTGGAGAGGCAGACTGAGGAGTGAGTGGAAAATGACAACAGAAGCAGATTCACACAAAATTATAAAGAGCAAAATGACAAACACAATAAGCAGAGAAAGGGGAAGACAGAAATACCAGACAGCTAGGGGACAGACTGTGACATAACCCCCCTCTCAAGGGACGGCTCCTGACGTCCCCTAGGACCCCAACACAGAAAAAAAAAAAAAACACAGAACGGGTGGGAGGATGGGGGAAACATTAGGACGGAGGGCATAGAAAAAAATCTAAACACAAATCCTCTAAGAACGGCTCTGGGCATCGTTCGGAGTAAATGGCAAAACAGGTGGACAGCCAGAGGACCATCAAGAGCAGGACCAGAGTTCGGGCGGACGGCCAGAGGACCGTCCAGGGCGGGACCATAGTTCGGGCGGACAGCCAGAGGACTGTCCAGAATGGGACCAGAGTTCAGGCGGACGGCCAGAGGACCGTCCAGAGCGGGACCAGAGTTCGGGCGGACGGCCAGATGACCGTCCAGAGTGGGACCAGAGTTCGAGCGGATGGACAGAGGACCATCCAGAGCGGGGCCAGAGTTCGGGAGGATGGCCAGAGGACTGTCCAGAGCGGGGCCAGAGTTCGGGCGGACGGCCAGAGGACCGTCCAGAGCGGGGCCAGAGTTCGGGCGGATGGCCAGAGGACCGTCCAGAGCGGGGCCAGAGTTGGGGGAAGGATGGAATGGGGCCAATGATGATGCTGGCTGCTGCTGGACCAGAGGTGGTGGTGCTGGCTGCTGCTGGGCCAGGACGGGGTTCAGAAGCTGCGGGGACGAAGACAGGTTCTGACAGGACGTCGGCAGCTGCTGGGTCAGGATGGGGTTCAGCAGCCGGGACGTTGGGCCTGGGTTCTGCAGGCTATGGGTCAGAGATGAGTTCTGCCGCATGCGATGGGTCAGAGACGGGTTCTGCCGCAGGCGATGGGTCAGAGATGGGTTCTGCCGCAGGCAATGGGTCAGAGACGGGTTCTGCTGCAGGCTATGGGTCAGAGACGGGTTCTGCCGCAGGCGATGGGTCGAAGTCGGGTTCTGCCGCAGGTGAAGAGTCGGACGAGGGTTCTGCTGCAGGCGAAGAGTCGGACAAGGGTTCTGCAGCTGACGAGTCCGGCAAGTTCGTTCCTCTCTATCCAGGATGTGCACATCTTCATCCCTGAAAGAGTGACTGCTGGCCTGGAGATGAGTGTAGACCGCAGAGTCCTGGCCTGATGATGTTGATCTTCTGTGCTGGGCCATCCTTTTGGCCAGTGGCTGTTTAGTTTCCCCGATGTAAGACTGATCACAGCCCTCCTGACACTGAACAGCATACACAATATTACTCTGTTTGTGCCGGGGGACTGGATCTTTGGGATGAACCAGTCTTTGCCGTAATGTATTTTGGGGTTTAAAAGCCACTGGGATGTTATGTTTAGAAAATAAACGTCTCAGTTTCCCCGATACTCCCTCAACATACGGAATGACCACTGGTCTGGGTCTGGGTTCCTCCTTTTCACCCGATGGCTGACTGGAGTCCTGTTTGGGTTTCTTCTCTGCTTTCAGGAAGGCCCAGTTAGGATATCCACATTGCTCTAGAGCCTGTCTTGTGTAGGATTTCTCCTTCTGCCTGGCTCCTGAGTTAGTGGGGATGTTGTCTGCTCTGTGATACAGAGTCCTGATGACTCCTAACTTGTGCTCCAAAGGGTGATGGGAGTCAAACTGCAAATACTGGTCTGTTTGGGTGGGTTTACGGTACACCTCGGTTTGCAAATGTCCTCTATCAGAGACTGAGACCTCACAGTCCAAGAAAACCAACCTGCCATTTTTTACATCTTCTCATGTGAACTTGATGTATTTATCCACAGAGTTGATGTGATCAGTAAAACGTTGGACTTACTGAGATTTAATTTTAACCCAGGTGTCGTCAACATACCTGAACCAATGACTTGGTGGTGTCCGTGAAAAGGACGCCAAGGCTCTCTTTTCTACCTCCTCCATGTACAGGTTGGCAACAATAGGAGAAACTGGAGACCCCATAGCACACCCATGTTTCTGCCTATAATATTGCTCCCCATATGTGAAGTAGGTTGACTGCAGGCACAGTTTCAAGAGTTGACACAGTTGTTCTGTGGAAAGCGTGGTCCTGCTGCTCAGAGTGGTGTCTGATTTTAATTTTAAACTGACCACCTCTACTGCATCATCCACAGGAATGCACGTAAAGAGTGTTGTGACATCAAAAGAAACCATTGTTTCATCAGTCTCCATGATGACATCCCTCACCTTATCCACAAAGTCAATGGTGTTCTGCATGTGGTGTTCTGAGCTGCCAACTAAAGGGATGCGTACAGACGTCAGATATTTGGAAACATTGTAAGTGACAGAGTTAATCATACTAACAATAGGTCTTAAAGGTACACCTTGTTTGTGGATTTTAGGTAAACCATACAGACTAGGTGTGGCCTCCCCTGGTTACAGTCTGTGGTACAGAATACGGTCAATAGCCTTGTCCTGCTCCAAAATTTTCAGGCAATCTATTAACTTCTTCTTGTAACCACTTCCTGGATCTATTTTCAGAGGTTCATAAGGTGTTAAGTCACTAAGGGGTGTCATAACTTTCTCATGATAGTCTTTCTGGTTCAAAATCACTGTGCACCTTCCTTTGTCTGCTGGGAGAATGATGATGTTTTTGTCCTTGCTAAGAGTGGTGAGTGCATCCCTCTCCTCTCTACTGATGTTGGAAGGTGGTGGTTTGGCATTGCTGAGGCAGGATGAAACTTTGATTCTGAGCTGTTCTGCTTCACCCTCTTTCATTTTGTTGTTGCGGATGGTTGATTCTGTGGCTGTGATCATCTCCACCAGAGGAATTGTACTTGGTGCAACCGCAAGAATCTCTGTCTCCGGCTGGGTGAGCTGTCTGTCAAATAAATTCTTCACCCACTTTTCTGTCTCCCTGGCATGTAAATGACTACTGGAGTGTTGTCCCACACTGAATGTGTTGTTTTTGGAATAGTGATTGTGTTGATGAGTTATTAGTAAGTTAAACTTGTTTTGTTGTCGAGTCTTGGACTTGACATGCTGTGCTAAGCGTGCCTGATCTGTACAGTCCAACACTTGCTGAAGTGTGGTCTGATCTAGACACATTGTTAGTTTCTGTTTAATGTGCTCTTCTTTGGCCTTCAAGGCCTCAATAGTAAAATTGGTCTATCTCACCCGTTCATTCAGCAGCTGGGTCTGTGCCTTCTGAACGATCTTGCTTGCCCGGTGCCCGCTGACCGATGATTTTAGTTCCAGGCTCTTGGGAATGATACCACTTTGTCGACAGCTGAGGTTGAATCGCAATTGGTTCCTGTAGTCTGAGGTAGGTGTCCTTGCTGTTTTCTCAAACTCTCTTATTAGTTTGAGGCAATCCTGGCCAAAGTGGTTCAAAATATCCTGATGCATGCTCAATAATCCAGGTAGAAAAATCCAAAAAAGTTCATTCTGGTCCTTTGGACATTCAAAAAACAAAACAAACAAAAAAATATAGAAACGTTTCGTCTCTCATCTGAGAGACCTTTTCTTATTGAGCATGCATCAGGATACTTATTGTAAAGAGTTACCATTAAAACAAAAGTTCTGATGAGGAAGCCAAATACCTCTACTTACAAACAAGCAGTATGCTGATGTCCCCCGTATCCAGGGCTTAATTTGTAAACTGATCAATGCCAGAACGCAAATAGTGGGTAGGCCGTCAGGGATGGGGAGTGAAGTAGATGTGATTCCCTGTATTTTGGTGTATTTTAACAGATATTTAAACATCTACATTTACCTACATTTGTAAACACTCCGCTTCTGTCAAGCATCCCCCCCCCCCACCACCATACTTGACGGAACCGTCAAATAAGTCGGGCTCGGTTCCCTGCTCGTTGTTGTAAGACTCCACATGTGAAACCTCCAGGCACCTGCCTGCAGCTGCCTGGTTAGCTCAGTTCACCCCCACCACTCTTCTATGGGCAGAGATTTCTTGAAGAGTAGACACATAAATGCTACTTGAAGGGGCAGCTTGTATGCTCCTAACTTGTGGCTGTTATGTTTAAAATTAGTGTTTACGTAATTATTTTCAGTTTACATATCCAATAAACGTTTTATTCATTCAAGACAGTCAAATTTGTTCATAACTTTAAGTTAAGCCTATGAGTTACCGGATCCAAGCAAACAGTTACTGGAACGCACCCTATCAAAATAAGAGAGTTTCCGGATACTGTTCCAGCAGGATCCGGCTCAAATTAAGCACTGCTGATATCTGAGGGATTAGAATAGTGAATGTTTGCAACTTTTGAGATGAGTGTTTTTCTGGACTTGAATTAAACAGTGAACGCAACATTGCATTACTAAAAAAGTTATGTTGTAGTCATGGATATAATTTGATATTTAGCATGGTCTTGTTGAAATAAGCAAGGATCTACCTGAAAAGGACAATGTCTGGATGAGAGTAAATGTAGTTCTAAAACTTATATATACTTGTCTACATAAATGGAGCCTTTTCAGATGTATAAGATGCCCATGCCAGAGGCACTAACGCTCCCATACCATCATAGAGCCTGAGTGAACAGTGTGCTAAAAACAAGCTGGATTTTCCCTCTCCTCTTTAGCACGAAGAACTGCAGTTTTCAAAACAAACTTTAGATTTTGAGTTATCTGACCAGAGAACAGTTTTGAACTTCACCTCAGTCCCTTTAAAATTAGCTTTGCTCTAGATAAGATGGACACGTTTCTCGTTGGTGTTTACATGGGACCGAGATGGTGTAGAGGTAGGGTAGCCGACTTGGGCCCAGAAAGATGCAGTTTTCAACTCCCAGCCATTCCCACATGTGGTGGTGTTTCTGAGCAATACACCCAATCCAATTGCTCCCTGGGTGCTTACATAGCTGTCCACTGCTCCACCTGGGTGTATCTCTGGTGTGATGGGTTAAATGCAGAGAACTAATTTTGTCGTTGTATGGAAACATACAATGATGACAACACATAGCACTTACTTACATACATGTGACTTCTTCTTTTCCTTATAGAGCTGTAAGCAGCATTTGTGGAAGTCACAGTGAACTGTGTTTATGGACAATGATCTGTGGAAGTCTTCCTGAGCCCATACAGTAATGTCCAGAACCAGAACTGTTTCTAATGCCCTGGCCCCTGAGGACCCCATGTCATGACCATCTATAAACTTTCAAGCTTGTCTTTGTACAATTATACCATTTTAGTACAATTTCTTACATTAAACTATTGACATGTTTACAATGCTCCAGTGTGAATTGTGTAGAAGACTAAAAAAGTAAGAATGACAGTGTTCTATTTTTGCATTATTTTTAGGTGTGTATACTTTGATCTGGCATTGTATTACTAACCATACTGTATTTACCTGATGTACGGCTCTGTGCTGCTTTCCCCTGTCAGCTGGTCCTTGGTGAGGTAGGTGTTGTGGGAGGAGGAGATGAAGTAGTGTGACAGTGGGTGTTTCATGTCTTGGTAAACTCTTGAATGTTCTGGGTTGAGCACACAGTTCTCCTTAGACAGCATGTACATGGTGAAGCCATTGGGGGTCATTAACTGGTTTCTCTGGGCTGTAAAGACAAAATACATACACACATAACACAGTCAAACACTTCATAAGTAACCAAAGTGCAGCTAGTATTCATCACAAGACAGCTAAATGTGCTCACTAACCCAATACAGACTGGCAATTATTTTTCCCTTCGGAGTCAATCGATGCAACGGTGCATGATAATATGACCTATTTCAGCCGCTCTAGCAGGAAAGACACAGCCTCCCAGAGACTCCATTTTAATTTGTCTATCTTACAGACTTCAAGCATCAGTTTTTAAACTGTGTTGATAGGCCAAGTAAAACCAGAGTTATGATCAATAACCCACATCTTTTTCTGAAAATCATCATCATATCGGAAGCATGTTAGATCGAGAGGCTGCGGCAAAGACGGGCAGTCTCAGGGACAAAATACCCCATCACCCTCCACTTTAATGGCGATAGTCGCGAGAGCAAATGTTGGAATGAACTGAAAAATCACTAAAATTGTTCTCGGCGTACGCCTCCATCTGGAATACAATCTCCTGCCTCTGCCCAGTCCTCAGCGTGATGTCATCAGCCTTTTGTAACCAATGGCCCTGTGCTTGGGTGTTTCTGTGACTGGTTTCCTGTTTTAAGTTGTTGTTTTTTTACCCGTGTGACCCAAATGTGAGAAAATGTATAACCATCATATTCTGCTACAGTAATAACACTTTAATAATAATAATAATGTGTTATGTGTTGTCATCACTGTATGTTCCCATACAATGGCAAAATTGGCTCTCTGCATTTAACCCATCTACCCCCAGGTGGAGCAGTGGGCGTCTATTGAAGGCGCCCGGGCAACAATTAGGGATAGGGTTTCTTGCTCAGAGACACAACAAGATGTGCAATGACTGGGGATAGAACCTGGAATTTTCGGGTCCTGAGTCAGCTGCCCTGCCTCTACACCATCTTGGCCCTAATAGCACTTTGGACAATAAAGGTGAGTGTTGTGCGTTAAACAGAGCTGGACCAAAACTCTGCTCCAAGGTTATTAAACCAATTAAAAACCTAGCTCACATCATCTCAGGACGCCATCACTACCGAAGTCACAGTTGTTCAACAGAGAATGGAATTTTCATCGGTCCAGCTACACAGATAAACAATAACCTGGGTTATTCTTGTTCTCCATTAAAGATGAATAATATACTGTTCTAGCTTTATGAGAGGGTTTCTGCGTATCGTTCCAGGTTAAAAAATTGAGTCATGTTAATGAAGCACCATTCTAAAATTTATATCTGTTTGAAAGTGTGATTGTGTTTGTGTCCACTGTAAGTCTTTGTGATGCACCATACCCCACTCATTAAGTTCATAGATGAGTATGAGGCTCTGGGCATGCGTGACTGAAGTGTCCTCCCCCTGGTCCTTCAAGAAGTCTCTGAGATCCAGCGTGGACAGCACACAGCCATTTGCAGAGTAACGGATGAAGATTGCATCCAGTTCTGGCCTCCGAAGCAACTCCCTGCAAAAAACTTCAATCTCTTCCTGGTCCAGGCGACCATCAGCTGACTGATCACATTTCTGTCATTCAGACACAGAGTTTCACTTTTTGTTTAGCTGTATACCTCCACAAGACCCTGACGTGGTAAATGTGGGTGTGTGCTCCTGTACCTGGAAGAGGCTGCGAGCGTACTGCTCACTCAAGTCGATGTTGATCATTTGCAGCAGCATTTGGACCTCTTCGTAGCTCATCTTGTCATCCCGGTTCTGGTCTGCCCGACTCAGATAAGCATGAATCCAAGTAACAAACACAGTCAAGGAAGCAGTAGATTGTTTTATGTCAGTTTAAGCAATTTATCTTTTTTTTTGTGAATACAAAACAAAAATAAAAAAGGTAACATATAAAGTATGTTTCCATACAATGATGAAATTAGTTCTCTGCATTTAACCCATCACATCTGGGATACCCAGGTGGAGCAGTGGGCACTATGTAAGCACCCGGGAACAGTTAGGGATTGAGTGTCTGGGACATCACGACATGTGGGCATGGCAGGGAGTTGAAGTTGCGACTTTCTGGTCCCAAATTGGCTGCCCTACCTCTACACCATCTCAGCCTCCCCAACAAAAGCACCTCTGTATGCTTTGATTGGCTGTTTTTTAATCTTATTTGATAGTTTTCTCTTTGATCCTTTCAACAGAACTAAAAGTTCAAAATTTGAATTAAAATAATTCAAGAAATCATTTGAACCTAAGTGGTGAAGGATATTGGTCAAGTTTTTCCTTCTGAGTCATGTTCTCTATCCTCTCCTGCAGGGTTTGAATGCCACGGGCCCAGTGCCGAGCCTCCTCCTGGTTGTTGCAGAGAAGATCCAGGCTCTTTCGAGGTCCTTTGAAGACCACCGTTAAACACCGGCCCTCAGGTATGGAGCCAGCCATCTGCCGCAGTGTCTCTGATTGGTGGCCTTCACGAACGCACTCCACCTCCATGATAGAGACTGAGAGACAAACACGAGTGAAAAAAAAATAAATAAATGAGTATAGAGCAAGGGATGCTTTATTTATCTCCTATCTTGTTATGAAGTGATATTTAGACTGAAAATAACCTAAAATATTTCTGAACATACTTATCCCACTCACAAATATGTAATATTGGATCATTTTCCCCAACAAATAAATGACAAAGTATAATATTTTTGTCTTTTTTGTTAAATTCACTTGTTGACAAGTAATACAGTGTAAGGATGGTACCCATCTGTCAGTTTCCCTGTGTCTGTACTCCCTAGTGTCTCCCAGTAATTACCCTGATCAGTTCCACCCGTGTGTCCTCCAGGTGTTTGTAATTTGTCTCGTCTAGTCTATGTGTATATAAGCCCTGGTCTGTGTCTCAGTCTTTGTCAGTGCATCGTCTGGTATCCTCCTGTGTCCCTCGCATTTCCTGACCCATAAACGTTTGCTGCCTCGTCAGCTGTTTATTTCTATTATTAAAGTGTTTTCTTATTTTACATCCTGGCCTCTGCATCCTGTTTGCTCATGGGTTCATTCCTGTTCAGCTCAGCCTGAAAATCCTGACATACAGTAGTCAAAGGTAAAAACACACTCAGAAAGCTGGATGTGAAACCAGCAGCTTTTAGTGCCAGCACAGGATGTGTATGGAGGGGAAAAGACAATTTGATGAGTAAACACACACTGAACTGTTGGCTGGAGTTCTTGAATCTACATAACCTAAAGAGGAATTTCCGACCAAAAAATGGTAAATGGACTGTACTTGTATATCACCTTTCTATCTTATCAAGATACTCAAAGCTCTTTACAACTCAACCTGTGCCTCATTTACCCATTCACACAGCACTCTACTGCATCTCTACAAAGATAATTTGAATCTGTAGAGACTAATCAGGGCTGTAGATCACATTCATACACCAATGAGGGGTTCAGTGTCTTGCCCAGGGACACTTCGGTATGTGACTGCTGGTGGAATTGATGGTGGAATCGAACCCCCAACTCTCCCATTTTAGGAAGACTGCTCTAACCACTCAGCCAGTACTGCCCAAGACACAAAAAACAAAGCAATATAGACCATCCATCCATTATCTTTACCCACTTCTTCCATTTTGGGTCGCGGGGGTCACTGGTGCCCATGTCCAGCAATCACTGTGCGAGAAGCAGGGGATTGTGGGCAGGTCTCCAGTCCATCACAGGACAAGACAAACAACCATCCACTCTCTCTCTCACCTAGGGACAATTTAGAGTTACCAATCAGTCTAACATGCATGTTTTTGGTCTGTGGGAAGAAACCGGAGTACCCGAAGAAAACCAATGCAGCATGGAAAGATCATGCAAACTCCATCCAGAAAGGCCCCCCAGACCGCTGTTTGAACCAGGGTAACCTGCTCACTGAGAGGTAGCAACCCTACCAACTGCGCCGCCATGCTGTCCAGCATTATAGTCATAAATCCTAAAAAATTTCCAAAGGTTTTCTGAAAATGGGGCCTTTTGTCCATCGCAGGGGTGTCAAACTCACTTATAAAACAGGGCCTAAATCAAAACCTTTTTCAAACTAAGGGCCAATTTCAAAAACAACATTGACTCAAATCAGATACCTGACATCTTTTTTGATCACAAGTTCCTCAACAAGAGTTTGATTAGTCTCATTCAATGTTCTCTGTTGTGCTTTCGACATTGTAGTGAACCTGATGACCTCAAATCTATCAGATGGACAGAGACTGTTATTTCATTGATCTGAATACAGTTTGAGCCATCTGGAGACTTTCTTTCTTGAAGATTCAAGTGAAAAGAACACTCTCTTTTTATGATCATTACTGTTTTACAAATGTTTGATAATCAAATTGTGTTAGTTTACTCAATGCTTACAGGTTGAAGAAAACTACTCATTTTTATTTTACATAAACAGTAAGTAATGATTTTTATTCCTCATTCAAAGAAGAAATCAGGTTAATATGCATTTCTTGATTTTTCTGTCTGCAATGTAAGTATGTTAAAGGTCGGTTCTCGGTCAACTAAAATGTTTACCGAGAAAAATGTCATGTTTAAACTTTTTCAGAAGATAATAAGAGTGAGACTCCACGAAGTCTGAAGTCCTACAATAATCTTTCTGTTTGTCACTGAAACAATCCTTGACTTTTAATAACATCTTACATCATACACCACACCTCTATTCCTGGTCCATCGACCAATCAAAAGCTCTCAAATGACCCGGAAGTCGACCCATTTAAAATGTGGCAACTTCCCAGTTCATGTTAGAGTTGCAAGAGTTGCAAGAGTCCGAGGGTCCAAGAGTCTCAGAGTGATGGAGGTTCTGAAGAAGTTCTAGAGTCTGAGAGTTCTGAAGGCTGAAGGAGAAAACTCTGATGTCCGAAGCCCAGAGTGCTTCCGTTGGAATACAGAACGCAGTGACGATGTTGGGATTATAATTTCTGTTTGAACACCACGCACGACTCTCGAAGGATTTCAGCTGCTCAACGGAGACGCTGAAAGAGTCTGAAGGATTCTATACCGAGCTGATTTCATCGTCAACCAGGTAACGATCTACTTCAACCGAGCGTACCATCGCAAGCTGAGATCTGATGGAGCGTGCACGTTCTGGTCATAACAGATTAATTCCCTCACATATCTCTCTGTAAGATAAATCTCCATTTCCATCTTAAACTCTGCTTTCTCCTAAAATCAGTACAGATATTTAGAAATATCTGAAGCTAAGTCCTCAATCACCGCCGTGTGATTGAAGCCCATTTTCTGTGAAACTTGTCTGTTATTATTTTCATATTTTGCCAAATTAATGTAAATGTTTGATGTTAAACTTTGATTCTGAAAATAAATGACCGCATTCATTTGATGGGTCAAACATAAATAACGTCTCTCGTTACATTTCTGTTAAAATTCAATGCACGACATTTACACAGTCAGAAAGATGAGGAACTCGTGAAAAAAGTATGCATATATTTCCCTATATTGTCATACTACAGTTGGTGGCCCGTAACGTGCTCATAAATGACTGTAAATTCGTGTAAAAGATTGATTTTTTACATGTTGGCATATAAGAAAAGTAACAGTTTATCAGCTGTGAAGAAACGCAGCTCATGCTGCACCGCCTGAAGCGAAACGCTGCATGTTTTTAAGCGTGTTGGTCTGTGGAGCTCAGGGAGCTCACAGAAAGCTGAAATAGTGTCATAAGTCTTTATGAAAGCTGAATTTGTACGACTGCTATGTGTAGCTAAGCTTATGAGCTGTGGGAAACGTTGATTCTGTTTAAAAGTACGGAGGTTCTGCTGAAAGACCAGGACTGTGGTCCAGTTCGGTTCTGTTAAGTTTGAACGAGTATTTTGAATAGATGGATAAACGTTTTAAAGACTGGACGAAGTCTCAGCTAAGCTCAGAGTTTATTCGTTACATTTTTTAACAGAAAAAGTGCATTTTGACAGTTTAAAAGACGAAAAAGTGACGAACTGATTTTATGCTAATCTAACATGCTAGTTGTTACTAACATTTCGTGATTGGTTGAATATTGCTACTGTGGAGCGCTCTGATTTGCTGAGAAGGTTGACTGGCGTGGCTACGTCATCCCCTCTCAACCCTGCGCTGCTTTGCCATTGGTGATTTCAGTCACGTGACCCGGAAATGAAAACTCGTTTTCATAGGGAATAAAATCTGCTTTTTAAAGCTGAAAAGCGCTTTAAAAGTGTATTTTGATACGCTGGTTAAGTCCTTCAAAGCATACTCGCTGAAATTTTGCCACGTTAGAGTTTAAAATCCGTCATTAAATGAGGTTTTTTGAACAACGCTAGCGATGCTAATTTTAAGCTAACAGCTAACGACCGAAGCCTTCACTATGCTTAAAATCACTAAATAAAGCTGCAATATTGTTCCACAAAACTCATGTCCATGTTATAAAGTCGTGCTTGTTGAAATTTTGCCACGTTTGTGTAAAAAATTCGTTCAGAAATGTTGATTTTAACCGAGTTTAGCCGAAGCTAACTTTAAGCTAAGCGGCTAACAACAGGATGTCAACCGAACGCCACAGGAAGTCATAGCGACCCCTAATGGACAACACAAACAGTGTCTGAGTTGAAATTATTAAGGTTGTTCTGACATCTTCTGGACAAACTTGAGAAGACAGGTTTCACTCGCTTTTTAGGTTTAAATAGTGAAATTAAACGTTTTTATTTTTCTAAAGGCATTTTTGAGTTAATAAACGTTCCTCAAAGCTGAATAAATACTGTTATCTTGCATTTTAAAAGTTATAAGGTATTTATGCAAAGAGCATTTACCAAAAAGTTTTTATTCACTGGTAATCCCTTAAAAATAAAGGTACAAAATAAAATTTAACTTTTAAAAAATAGAAACGGTTCAAATATTCACAGAGTTGAAAAGTTCACTCATTTTGCTTGAAAGATAATACACGTTTAATTGCAAAATCACTAAATAAGAGTAAACTTATCAGGAAAAAGAAACTTTTCTGTTTAAGTTGCCACCTAAAAATAAATCTTCCTATTTAATTTTAAATAGAAGTCACTGACAGGAGGACAACAGGAATAACAGTTTTTCTGAGGAAGGACTGATTAATCCTGATACATCATCAACTTTTCTTTTTCTTTTCACAACTTAGTTCTATGAGTAACTGTTAAAATAGCAAATTTCTGGAACAGAACGGTTTAAAAAACGCTTTAAACTGATTTGCTGTGAGACTTTTTAGAAAAGTGCAGGTTTATAAAAAATTCAGTGCTTTAGAGTAAAATACACTAAAAAGAGCTTGGTAACTGGTACCTGTTGAAAAATAAGCACATACAAGTAACACTGCCGAGAGCATTTACTTAAATATTCATGAATTGGGGTAAAACCTGAGAAAGGTACCCACATTTGAATAAGTTGACTTATAACAGTACTTCTGTGTAAACCCAAAAAGCTAAAATAGTGTGAAAACTCATTGACTCGAATACAAATATTTACCTGTAAAATATCTGAAGCTTGCAACTGTTTT